TTGTGAAAATAAAATTTTAAAAAAAAGAAGATAAAAAAATGAATTAATTGAAAATTTTTAAAAAAAAAAAATAGAAAAAAAAAAGATATTAAATTTAATTTGTTTATTTTTATATCAATAATAATAATATTATTATTAAATTTTTTTAAAAATTTATTGTGGGGGTGAAAGGGAGGTTTATAAACAAGCAAATAAAAAATGTGTGAAAAAAAAAAACAAGTGAAAAATCAAAAAAAAAAAAAAAATAACAAACAAAAAAAAAAAAAAAAAAAGCTGTATAATTATAATGAATGTTGCCTATTGGTTTTTCAATTTTTGTATTGGGGAAAGGTAACACAAATTTTTTTATTTTTTATTGGGATATTGAGACTCATTTTTAATATTTTTTTGGTATTTGAATACTCATTTTAAAAAAAAAAAAAATTGAATAAAGATGTTGTATCAATAATATTGTTTTTAGAAACCATTTGAAAATTATTTTTTTCTATAATTAAATTTTTGAAAAATATAATTGTAAAAAAAAAAAAAAAAAATTTCAAAAGACTATAATTTATTTTTTTTTTTTCCTTTTTTTTTTCTTTTTTTATTTAAATCTTATTTACAAAAAAGAAATAAATTATTGATATACACCAAAAAAGGAATAAACATTTAAAAATTGTTTTTCTTTTTTAATCCATGATATTGAATCTTAAGGGTGGTCCTTTGTGTAGTATATATTTTAACAATATACAATACCTTTTTTAAAGTTAAATAAATTAAGATTTATTATATAATTTCTTTATATAGTAAAGGGTTATATACAAATAATTAAATATACTGAATCTTTTTTTTGATTTATTTATAAAAAAAAAATACAACTTTGTTCCAAAATTTTTATTTTTTTTTTTTATTTTTAAAAATTAAAAAAAAAATTAATAAAAAACCATCAATCGATACAATAACAATAATAAATAGTTATCATTCTTTTCTAATATTAATTAAATGGAAAAAAAATATATAGAAATTAAATTAAATTGAAAATAAAAAAGTTGTATTAAAATAATAGGTTTTTATTAGAGGATTATATTTAGGTTTATTGAAAGTAAAGAAAACATGTTGATATTATTTTATTTAAATTTAATCTTGATAAAAACAATAAATGTATATATACTTTTTTGTTCATTATAGTCTACCTAGTGAATACCTTAACTTGGGTTTTTTATAAGCTGGACATTATTTTGAAAAGATTGCTAAGCTTGATTACAAGGTAAATAAAAAGTTGTTGATGTTGTTTTGTATATGATTTTAAAAAACATAAGTAGTTTTATGTTTTTTAAAATTACAATTATAATTTTAGATTTTGGATAATAGAAAAGTGGTTTTCTATCATATTTTTGTTTATTATACAGGATGAACGCTATTTTTATACAAAGCTATTCTAATTTTAATAATATATTCAAGAATTGTATTGATTTTATTTAGTTTATAAAAATAAGTGGTTTGTCTTATAAAAGGTGAAAAGATAAAATTAATTGTGATGAGTTTTAGGAACTAAACCAAATTTCGAACCTAAAATAAAAATCAACGTGACTGCCTTTAGAGTATGAATAATATATTATAACTAGAACCTCTTATAAGACATGGAAAATTTAATTGATGATGATTTTGAGTGTTTAAACTAAGGAAAAACTTACCACATACAAAAAAAAGAACCCTTTTGACTTAAACATATCCTCATTAAAAATATTTTAGCTTTGTGCATTTTGATTACTAACTAAATGGAACTTAAATAATAGAAATTACAACAAGTTAATCTTCAAAAAATTGATAATTATCGATATCCACCTTATATTGAAAAAAAATAAGGTTTTGTACAATTTTTTTTATCAAATAGTTTAATAAGGTTTTTAATGACTACTATACATACATAAATACATGCCTTGCATATCTACTAGGGTAAATGATATACTTTGAATTTAACAAAAAAAAATTTTGGATTGGTTATTCTTTTATTAGAGAAAAAAAAAAAAAAAAAAAAACAAAAAAAAAAAAACGGGGGCCTTTGGTTTGGCCATAAAAAACAATTTTAAAATTTCCAAAACGAAAAATACATTAGAAATCTTCTATTACTAACAAGTAAAAATAATATCATAAATTTTTTTTTTTTGAAAAAAAAAAAAAATAAAATAAAAAAAAAAATTGTAAATAAAAAAAAAAAAAAAAATAAAACCAAAAACAAAAAATTATAATATAGAGTTTTATTAATATTTAAAAGGAAAAGTTGATATTTTTTATAAAATATATATCTAAAAATAATTTTTAATATATTAAGAATTTTTTTTATTTTATTTGTATAAAATTTGTTATTACAAATAAAATTATTTTAAAAATTTAAAAAAATATTTTTTTTTAATTTTTTTTTTTTTAATTTTTTTTTAAACGTTAAACACATTTCGAAATTTGAAGTGTTAAAAAAATTTGGTTTGGTGTGTTTTTTTTTTTTTTAACAAATCTTATTTTGGTAAAATATAAAAATCCATTATGGTATTTATATCTTAAAACTATTTTTATTTATTTTTATTTACTTTGTGTATTATTTTTATGATATATATTCTTCGTCCTCAACCTCGTCTTCATCCTCCACGTTTTCTTCTTGATCATCAGTTTCTTCGATTGATTCTTGATCAGGATCTATGCCCTTCATTATCATTTCTAATCTAGCTAAACCTCTTGATGCTGGCTCGTATTGAGGATTGATTTCCAAAGCACTATTGAAATGGATCATAGCCTCTTCGTGCATATCTTTAGTTAAGTATACAGTTGCAATTTCTGTATGCATCAAATCGGTTTCTTGATATTCTAATTGATTATTTAAACTAGGAAAAGAAGAAAAAAAAAATAAATAAAAATTAGATGATTATAGACAAAACATATATAGTTGATGGTTTGGTTATAAATATTTACATATCGACAGCCTCTTGGAATCTGCCTTCGACAACATTTAGCTTGCTTAGTGTTAAAACAGTATCTGTACAATGTGGCGAAAGAGATAATGCTTTTGAGAGTATTTTTCTTGCTTTTTCTCTCTCTTCAGGTTGATTTGCTAACACCATGCCTAAAAGAGCCATTGTTTTTGAACATTCTGGACTTAGTTGGTTAATAGTTTCAGCGACAAATAAAGCTTCTCTCATTTGATTCAATATTAAATGGCATCTAACCAACTCTCTTGCTGTTAAAATGTTCTTTGATAGTTGGAACGCCCTTTCTAACGATGGAAGCGCTTCTCTAGGTTCATCTAATGATAATAAAATTTCACCTCTTAATGAATGTGCAAATTCGTGTGACTCATTTATACTTATCGCTCTATCTACATTCTCTATTGACTTTTCGATATTCTCTTTAAAGAAATATAACAGCGATACTGATGTCCATGTTTCAGCAGAGTTTGGGTTTGCTGTAACTAAATCGTTACACACCCTAAATTTAAATAAAAATAATAAAATAAAAAAAAAATTAATTTTCTCTTATAAAAAAATAATTAATATTAAAGTTCTACATACTTGTTTAATTCGAGCGGTAAGCCCCTCCTTTTCAATAATGAGCAAAATACATCCATTGAACTGACATAATAAGGATCTAAAATTCTAATTTTTTGAAATATATTAAATGTATTTACAATTGATGGTTCATCATGATATAAATATGCCAATGCCAACTTTTCCAATACGTACAAATTTGTTGAATATTTTGATTCAATTTTTTTTAGTAATGAAATTGATTCTGAAAAAAAAAAAAAAAAAAAAATTAATAAAGGATTTTAAACAATAAATTTATAGTTAATTATATAGATTCTTACTTTCTGGTGAATTTTTTTTCATTTCCATTTGCGACATTGATAATAACGATATCCATGATAAATCTATTATGTTTTCACTTTCGATATTTTTTTTAATATTCTTATTGCTATTGTTAATCATTTGTTGTTGATATATACTGATGGATGGTACCAAAATACTTTCAACATTTTCACCAATCTCTTTTAATAAATCGATGGCTTCGATGCATAATGGACAGATTTTAAGCGCCTCTTTTAAACTAATAATACATTCTCTTGTCTTTTCTTTACCCAATTCTTTATAAAGTCTACTGATAGTGAGATGAACTTCAAAATTTCTTGATCCAAATGGTATTGATTCGAGCTACATTTTGGTAAAAAAAATAAAAAAAATTGTAAATATTTATTACTAAATATGGTGTAGTTAAGTATTATTTTTATCCCTACTGTTGTTTATTAATTATAAACAAATAGTTATTTTTAAAGAAATTTAATCAATAAAAAAAAAAAAAAAAAAAATTTGTGTGTTTTGGGGGGAAAGTTTAACATGGCAAATTTATAAAACTATTTTTTGTTTATATTTTATTAAAATTAAATAAAAAATAATAAAACTAAATTTTTTTTTGTATTATTATTATTAATATTGGTTTTGTTATTTATAATATAAAAAACTGTTTTCATTATTTATTAATATTATTAATTATTTTAAATATAACAATTTACACTTTTTTTTTTAATTATTAACACATACAAATTAAAAAAAGATATTTTTAAAATTTTATTATTACACAGATTTTTTTAAAGATGAAAAGCCATTATACTGTAATTACTAAATATTATTATTAAAATAATACATATAATACATACATATGATAATGCTAGTGAATGTCTTGATATTTTATTATAACAAATTGATATTTTATATTTTAAATCATATTCAAACTGTTTACTATCAAAAGTGGAAGGAATTGAAGAGAGTAATAATTCTTTTTCTTTTAAATTTGGATTATTATAAACTTTGAATAATACATCTAAACATTGTTTATAGTATTTTAAAGATCTGATGAATTCATTTTTCCCAAATAGTGTATCTGCAAATAAAGAGAATGAAACTATATTATTGTGTGCTGTTTTTTGTGTATTTGGTATTGATATTATAAAATTTCCCAATAACTCTGCTGATTGATATTGTTTACTGTCGACTAATAATTTTAAATTACTGATCATAAACTCTACACTAACATTTTGTTGATTCATTTTCTGCGATTCTTCCTTGTTTCTTTTCCTTTTATTTCATTTGCTTTTTGGGATAATAACAAACAAATCAAGGTATTAAAATAAAAATGAAGAAAAAATATAAATAGTGCGCTCTTTTGATGAATTTAAAAAATAAAAAAAAAATTTAAAAAAAATTTTTTTTTAAAAATTAAAAAAAAAAATTTAAAATTGAAATAAATAAATAAAAATAAATAATTAGTTAATAAATACTATTTTTTTATTAAAGCTCGATTTTAATATAACTTAAAATAATTTTTTTAATTTTATTTTATTTTATTTTTTTCTAATTAAAAAATTGAGTATTTTTGATTATTAATAATTTATTCAACTTTTTGGAACTTGTTTGGAGCTTTGTTTTTATTCTTAGCCTTTCTTTTCTTTTCACCTTCATTTTCGGCTGAAACAGTATTGGTTGGTTCATTATTAAATTTATTATTATTATTATTATTATTATCATTTTTGAATTTGTTGTTATTATTAAATTTGTTGTTATTATTTTTGTTATTATAATCGTCATTGTTATTTTTGATCTCGGTATTATTTTTATTATTGTTGTTGAAATTCTTATTTTTATTATTGTTATTGATGTTTTTATTATTATTACTATTATCATTGGTATTAGTTGATTTTTTATTATTATTATTATATTTACTGTTATAATTGGTCTTTTTGGTTGATGAAGTAAGATATTTACTATCTTTATCGAAATATCTTTTATCGGCTTTACCACGATATTTGAATGCAGAGTTATAATAGGTTGCAATTTTTTGGATTGGAACAATCTTTTCTAATTCTCTATCATCTTTTTCTAAAATATCATCAACTGAAATTGAAGTATCTGGTTGTACCTTTGTGTATTTGAAACGAACTGGAGTATCATCGCCTAAAATATCTTGATAATCCATTTCATAATATTTATCCAACATATCTTCAAGCTCTTGACGTTCTTTTGACATTCTTTCATCTGACCATACCTCACCATCATCTTCAAATTGATCATCAAAGTAACCAGATTCAATTAATTTGTTGAAGTCCATACCATTTTTCTCATTTTCATAATGATCTTCATCGTTATAATATTGTTCATCGTCTTCGTTATAATGTTCTTCTTCACCGCCATTGTAGTCTTCGGCACCCTCTTCACCATTATATTCCTCACCTAAATCCTCTTGATATTCTTCATCGTTATTTGATTTTAATTTTTTACCAACTGCTTTTAACATAATTTCTGGGTCGATTTTTTTGATATCGACAGAATCTAAATCGAAAAGTTTTGAACCAGTGATACCATTGATTTCTTTAATTTTTTCTAAAATTTCCTTCTTCTTAATGTTCTTGAGGTTTTTAATTTTTTCTTGATTGAGAAGAGCACGTTTTTCTTTTCTTTCTTTCTTTTTCTCTCTCTTTGATTTTCTTGCTGATTCGGTTCTTCTGACTGAATCTGCGATATGACGTGGGTGACCAACGATAAGAGCAGCACCTGGTTCTTCAAATCTAAAATTGAATGCTCTTTCAAAATCATCTTGTTTATTTGTTTCACCTTCATCTTGCTCCATTTCCTTCATAATCTCTTCGTAGGTTGGAAGCTTTCCTTTATCTGATAACCATTTTTGGCCCAAAATGTAATCTCTGAGGAATTTTTCATCTTGATTAGCATTTTTACCTTTCCAGAAATCACTAATAGTTTCTTCTTCTTGGACCAATGGTGAATTTGTCTTTTCTAAACGTTTCTTAAATTCTTCAAATTCTTTTTCTTCATTTAACTCTTCTTCTTCTGATTTTTTTCTTTTTACTAAAAATTCATCAATGTCGCTGTCTTCATCATCGTCGTCATTTTGAGTTTTCTTTGATGCATCTAGAAAAGCTTTCTTTAATTGCTCTTGTTGTTTGTTGTGTGGAAGTGAATCGAAATCGAGTTCTTCTTCATCTGACTCTTCGTATGATTCTTTATCGATGGATTTTAAAATTTTTTCTCTTTGATAATCTTTTAAAGTAACCTTTTTTTTTTCTTCAGTTTTTTTTGACTCTGATTCTGATGCATCATCATCACTTTCCCTATTAAAGAATTTGATATCTTTGTTTTTTAAAATTTCAGTTTTATTTTTAGCTGTTAATAATGGTAAAAGAGAGAGGAAAATATCATTCTTGTTCTTTGTGTCATATTTAGCATCGTCATCCTCACTATCCTCATCTTCTTCCATAGTTGTGGCAGCAGATGACTTTTCATTATTTTCATGTTTCTTTGCATACTTTTGAACAAAATCTTCGTTAATTTTGAATTCATTATCTTCGTCTGAATCTTCATTATCAAATAAAACTTTTTTTTCTTTTTTTAAAATAGATTTTGGTTTAGTGGTAGTAGTATTTGTTGTTGAAGTTGGTTTTTTTTTTTCACTTTCTGATTCTGATGATGAAACTGATGATGATTCGGATTCGGACTCTGATGATGAGCTTTCTGAGTCTGAAGATGATGATGATGAACTATCTGAATCTGATGAATTACTATCATCATCATCTTTATTTAATTTTTTTTTTAATTCAACTTCGCTGTCGCTGGAATCTGACATTTTTATTTTGTTATTATTATTTTTTTTATTATTGTATTATATTATTATACTGTTATATATTCTATTATTTATAATATAATTGATTTATATGCTATTATATATTATTTTTATATTATCAATAAAGATATATTTAAAAAAAAAAAAAAGAAAAAGAAAAAAGAAAAAAAATTTTAAAAATTTCAAAAAAAAAAAAATTTCTAAAAAAAAACCGAATAATACTCGTTTTTTTTTTTTTATAAAATAATTATTTTATTTTTTTTTATTTTTTAATTTTTTTTAAATTATATCAAATATTTCTTTTTTTATTATTTTCTTTTAATATTCAAATATTTATTTTAATAATAATTATTTATTCCATTTATAATTTAAATAATAATAATTAAAATAAAACTTTAAATTAAAATATTAAAATGAATTTATTAACCACCAATGGTGTAAAAATTTATAATGTATCAGCTGGTAAATCATTACCAGAGTGGTTATCAGAAAACAAAAGAGAAGAATTAAGAAAAAACAAAGAGTTTAATCAAAGAATTGAACTAATTCAAGATTTTCAATTTGAAACATCATCACAACGTGTAAAACTATCACCTGATGGACAATATATTTTAGCAACTGGCATTTATCCACCACAATTCAAGGTATTTGAATTATCACAATTATCATCAAAAGTTACAAGAAATTTAGATTGTCATGTAGTTCAATTTGAGGTAAATATATATATATATATATATATTATAAAAATAATTATTGAAAACATCATAACCAATATTAATTCATTTACCAATCTATTATAAAAGTTATTATCAGAAGATTATTCAAAACCAGTATTTTTAAGAGATGATAGATATATTGAATTCCATGCAAAATTTGGATCATATTTTAAAACTAGAATTCCAAAATTAGGTAGAGATATGACATATCATAAACCATCATGCGATTTATATATTACAGCTTCAGATACAGATGTTTATAGATTAAATTTAGAAGAAGGTAGATTTTTAGCACCACTTCAAACCAACCTCAATGGAGGTGTTAATGTTATTGCACAAAATCCAGTACATCAATTATTAATGTTAGGTGGTGACAATGGTTTTATCGAATGTTGGGATCCAAGAGTTAGACATATGATTTCATCAATTAATGCAGCTGCTGCACTTCCAAGTTATGATGCTGAGGGTGATTCAATTTCAATTACAGCAGGTAAATTTGGTCCAGATGGTTTGTTATTGGGTTTGGGTACTTCAAATGGTGGTGTCTTAATGTACGATCTTCGTTCATCCAGACCATCAATGATTAAAAATCATCAATATCAACTTCCAATTAACTCAATTAATTTCCATCTCTCTGGTGATGGTACAACTCGTTTATTGTCATCAGATGCCAAGATCTTAAAGAGTTTCGACAAAGATACTGGTAAAATATTTATGGTACTTGAACCAAAAGCACCAATTACCGATGTTATCACTACAGATGGATCTGGTTTAATTTTAATGCCAGGTAACACCCAAAAGATTCAAACTTATTATGTACCAGCCCTTGGTGCTGCTCCAAGATGGTGCTCATTCCTCGACAACCTTACAGAAGAACTCGAAGAAGATAAACAATTACTTTATGAAGATTATAAATTTATTACACGTGATGAAGTCGTTCAACTTGATATCGAAAATCTTATTGGTACTGGCTATCTTAAAGCACATATGCATGGTTTCTTTATTCATATTAAACTTTACAACAAAATCATTTCAACTAAAGATATCGACTCATATGAAAATCTTAAGAAAAAAGCCATTGAAGAAAAGAAAAATAAAGAAACAGAATCACGTATTAGAGCCACCAAGAAAACCGGCCTCAATAAGGCTCAAGTTAAAGTTAACTCTCAATTGGCTGAACGTTTGAAGGCACAATATGATATGCAAGTTCAAGATGGTCACAAACCAGATAATGCTGAAATCACTAAGAACTCTATGATCGATCCTAGATTTGGTAAATTATTCACCGAATCAAATTTCGAACAAGATGTAGATAGTCAAGAATATAGAATGGCCAATCCAAGAGCTAAAATTGCAAAATTAGAGAAACACATTAAAGAAAACTATGATAAATTAGATTTAGATGATGACGATTCAGACCAAGACGACGATTCAGATCAAGATGACGATTCAGACGATAATAATAAAGAATCAGACGATTACGAAAGCGATGACTTTGATGAAGATGATGATGTTAAATTTAAATCAACCAAAAAAGCAACCACTACAAACAAAAAAGTTAAAATGTACGAAATTAAAACTGGTCACACTTTACCATCATTAAACAATAAAGACTCAAATAAACAACATTTATTAAAGAGTGCACCATTTTCAGTTCGTGTTGGCAAAGAAGTTAAAAAAGCTACTGGTATCGATGAAAAAGATGAAAAAGATGGTACAATTATCACAAAAACTGATAATGGCGACTTACAAATTAGTTTCATACCAGGTGCTGCTAAAAAGAAAAAAGTTTTAAATAATAATACAAATAGTAAAAAAGTTACAAAAAAAAAATAAATAAAATTTAAATAAATATTTATTTTATAAATATAATTTTTTTTTATATAAAAATTGTTTTTAATATTATCTTTTTTTAAATAATAATAAAAAAAAACAATGATTATAAATCTATTTCTATATACAATATGATATATTTCTTTATTTATAAATAATATTAGCTTTATGTAAAATCCAATAAATTATCAGTAATCGACGATGATGTGGTTGTGGGTGTGTTTTGTATGGATGTCGATGATTTAATATTAGGTGTCTTTGTTATATTTTTAATTGGTGTATTGGCTGATTTGGTTGGTGTTGGAGTTTGTTGAAGTTTATTTGATTTTCTAATTGGTGATGGTGTTAATTGATAACTTTTTCTTAATTGATCATGAGGTGAGCTTGGAGTTTGCGATCCAGATCTCTTTTGTAATATATATTTTTGTGCAGCTGGTGACAAATTGGAGAGTGATGCTGGTGTATTGATAGTATTTTTATTTAATGTTTTATTTACAATTTTATCGACCATTTTATTTGCCAGCTGTTCACGCTTGGGGGTTTCTGGTATTTTAAATGAAGGTGTACCACTTTTGAATTTTGTATCCAATGGAGTCGAAATTGGATTACTATCGAGCAACAAAGGTGTTCCATCCACTCTACCCCATGTCATCAATGGCGATTCATCATCTCTTCCCCCTGGTATGATTTGCGGAGTTGATATATAACCTAACATTGAACTTTCTATTTCCATAGTTGATTTACCCTCAAATTCCATCTGCTTTAGTTTTTCGATTTGCTCCTGTAATGTCATCTGCGAGAATGGTTTATTTGTAGGTATACGCTGTGTTTGCTGTGGCTTAACATCATCCTCCCATAGTTTCTCAGTTATTCTTGTATTATTATGTTTAATTTCTTTTGGTGGTCCACCTACAACCTCCTTGTTATAATTGGTATCTGGTATATACATTAATTGATTCTTTACTTTATAGTTCCATGAATTTGGTGCTGTGTTTGGATTAGATTTATATTCTACAACCGACAATGATGGTGCTGCTGTATTATTGGGTGATGATGATGATGTTAATAGTTTAGTCTCTGTACTACTTGAATCTAATAATAATTGTTGCTTTTTATTGATTTCGTTGGCTTTATCGAATAACCATTTATATTTTATTAATATTTTTTCATTCTGTTTCTTTTGAATTTCTATATAACTTGCATCATCCTCGCTTATATATGTATTTACAAAACTATCCAAATTGGTATTATCGATTTCATTATTTTGTTCTGTATTGTTATTATCTGTTGTGTTACTATTTGCTATTGTATGATTATGAACTTGCGGTGTTTCAAATCCATTACTATTATTATTATTTATTGCAGGTGTGTCAAAACTATTGTTATATGGTGTTCTTGAAGTTGCCACTCTTTTTAATGATGTTAACTGAACTGTTTTCATTCTATCTAAATCATTGCTCTCCACTGCATCCATCCATTCCAATTGACTCTTTAAGTTTGGTAAATCTGGGAAAAAATCCCTCTGAATGATTTTATTTAAAGACTCTACATATTTTTCTTCATTAACTATATTTAATTTTTTATTATTATTTGACATAATTATAATTATTTAAAATACATATAAATAAAAAGAAAATGTTTATTATTAAATAATAGTTTAATTTTTAAAATAAAAATTTCAAAAAAAAAAAATTTTAATATTTAAAAAAAAAAAAATTAAAAAAAAATGAAAAAAAAATTATAATTTAAAAAATTATTATAATATTTTAAAAATTTCTTCAATTAAACCCCACAATTAGGGAAAATAAAAAAAAATATAAAAAAAATAAAAAAACAAATTGTTAACCATTTCTTTTAAAAAATTTTTTATTTTTTATTTTTTATTTTTTTATTATATATTAGGATCTTAAGATAAAATCAATGGAACCAAAATAAAATAAGATACTATTAAACCAAAAATAATAATAAAGGATGGTTTAAGGAAAACCGATCCATTACCTAATTCATAGTCCAAGTCATAATAAGTTGATGGAATAGAGGCGTCATCAGATGTCATTGTTATAAAACCTTCTTCAAAGCCAACTTCATCTGTACCACGAATGATTTTGAAATAACCTCCATCTCCCCAGCCTGAACCCTGTTTTTTAAAAAAGAAAAAAAAAATTAGTATCAATTGAATATTATTATTATTATTGCTTTATAGTTATTTAATTCTTACCCAACTATTAGCAGCTATCCAATATAAAACGCCACTATCAGATTTGCCCCAGCCTACAACTCTAACGGCATGACTTTCAACGGTTTTAGCATTTTCACCCTTGACATAAATATTATTTGCCCATTTATATGGTTTAAAATCATCATATAGCATTAATGTGGCAACAACTGGACCATTTGTCATAATTTCAACTTGAGCATCTTGAATGGTTGGGAATTTTTGACATGATGAAGCTCTGAATTTGGTTTGGTTACTAAATGGAGTACCATCATCACAGGATTGTGGACATGAGTCATCTTTTGAAGCTTTATAAGACAAACAGGTATCTGGAACAACACCATTATTGATTAAAAACTCAAAAGCCTTACCGACAAATCCACCCTTGCATCCATTATTACAACCGCTATTGGATGTACAACTACCATCGCAATCCATCATATATTGGGGTGATAGAGTAACTTTTATTTTACCACCAGTTTGAATACATGCCTTATCAGCCAACAAACCAGTACTTACTTGAGCCCAGCAACTACCGCAACTCTTTTGCTCTCTAATAGGTGATATACATTCACTCCAAGTAGTTCTAACATCATAGGAATCAGGGATTGTATCATATTTATCCCCATATGTTACCTCTGTGCAAGCATCATATGATTGTGGGAAACCATATGACAATTTATATAATACTACAATTGAAAATATCAAACTAGATATTAACTTCATTGTTTTATTTTTATTTTTATTTTATTTATTAAAATATAATATATATATATATTTCACTATATAGTAATAGATGATTAATTGATTAAATTTTATTATGTGTAATGTTTAAAAAAAATTAAATTTAATTGGAAAAATATTAAAAAAATTTTAAAAAAACAATATTATTTATTTGATAACTATACAGAATTTAATATATAATTATTTTATATAGACTAAAAAAATAAATTTTAAAGAATTGGAATGAAAAAAAAATCTTTTATTTATATTAAATTGAATAAAAGTGGTTTTGGAATTATTTAAAATAATAAATTAATAAAAAAATCAAAATCAAAAAAAACAATTAAAAATTAAACTGACTTTCCTCTTTTAGATTTAGGGTCATTATAATGACCCTGTTGTTGTTATTTAATCCAATATTTTTTTATTCTTTATTTTTTTTTATTTTTTTTGGAACAGATTTTCGAAAGACCTCACAACGAGGCTTCTTTTTTTTAATTTAATTTGTTTTTTTATTTATTTTAATTTTAATTTAATTTTTTTTTTTTTTTTTTTTTTTATATTCTAGAAATCTAAAATTTGAAATCTATTATAATTTAAAAATCGTTAAAAAAAAAAAAATAAAAATTAAAAAATTTAAAAATAAAAAAATAAAAAAAAAAAAAAAAAAAAAAAAAATTAAAACTGAATTAAATTTAAATGTATATATGCTAGAATAATGCCTGAGATTATTTAAAAATGATGTCATATAAAAGATATATATAAAAAAAAAAAAAACTTTATATATTTAGAAACTGTCACAATATAGTCCATACTACCATTATTAATAATATTAAAATTGGTTTTATAAGAAATATAAATTATGTTAATGAATGGATAATGAAATATGAAAAATAATAATCTTATTTTTTGAATTATTATTAATAGAAATAAAAATCTAAAACCCAAATTTTAAAAATAAAAAAATAAAATTAAAATATATAAATATAAAATGAGATTGATTTCTTTTTTTTTTTTACATTGTATGGGAATAAAAAAAAAAATAATAAAATAATTTTTTATATAATTATAATTTTTTTAATGGTGATTTATTTAGAATTTGAGTTGATGTGGGTATTCACCTTTCTTGAGGAAGAATTTGGTCTTTAAGTAGATGGTTAAAGTTTTGTCTTTCTTGAGGGCAGCTAAGATTGAAGCATCAACTGATTTTTGATCAGCAACACGTGAATCAGCGATTTTCTTCTTTTCGACTTTCTTTTCATCTTTGAAGAAAGCGTCTTCTGATTTTTTGGTTGATTTCTTTTCAACGTTGAAGTAAGCATCGTTGATTGATTCAGCAACTTTAACACCTGAGACATCAACTTTAGTTGAGGTGGCGATGACGTATCTTTGGTCAATACGACGTAATGGAACACCGTTAACTTTGAATGGACCAGTGACTAAAAGAAGACCTGAAGCGAGTTGGTTTAAGAAAACAACACGTTTACCAGCGAAACGACCAGCGAGGATGATTAAAACGGTACCTGGGGTGATTGATTTACGAAGAGCAACTTTGGTGTTAACTTTTTTGTTGGCAACGGCTCTAATTTCAGCTGGGATTGAGGCTGAGAATTTTGGAGCTTTGGCAGTGATAACACGAGCTTGTTTGTTTTTGCCGAAGACTTTTTCTTTTTTGGCAGCAACAGCTTCAGTCTTTTTGGCGGTGGTGACTTTTTTGGTTTTGGCAACAAAAGTTCTGGTTCTGTTGGCGAATGAACGAGCTGAGTAAAGTCTGAGACCTTTAGCAACGGTTGGGTTTTCTAATCTGGCCCTATTATTATTATTATTATAATATTGAATTAAAAATAATTAATATTTCTTTTTCTAATAATATTTGATTGTTAGGTTGTATTAATCCTTTTTGAACCATAGTTTCCACATGCTATCCTCTTATTTTTCTTTTTTCATTTTTTTTTTCTCTATATCTTTCATTTTTTATCTTAATCCATTATCCATTATCCATTATCTATTATCTAGTATCTAGTATCCAATATAAATCTTTTTTATCCGCACTGTATTTGATATTTGATTATATTTGATGTTAATCCATAAAGATATTGATAGATTGATTGAAATTGGTGGTTCAAAAAGGATTTATACGTGTAGTGTGAAAAAGAGATAATCTCGTCATACATTTTTATCAATTATGTAGCTAAATAAAACGAAAAGCAAAAAAAAAGTTTTAATGACAAAAATTGAAAAAACTAAAAATTTTTTTAAAAATTTTTTTTTTTTTTTTTTTTTTACATGAACGTTGACGCACAAAGCCAAATTTATATGAGAGATTACCTGATTTATTTTTATTTTTGTTTTTAAAATTTTAATGATAAAAAAAAAAAAAAACCCCCAAATGAAATTTTTTTTGGTGAACTGACAAATTTTATTTTTTAAAAAAAAAGTTAAAAAATAATTACAACCTTCATTGAGGGTTTTTTACCAAAATTTTGACCAAAAAAAATAAATATTTATTATCCATAATAGTTTTTATGTTTAAGGGGTGGTAAAAATTATTTTCAGGAATAATTTATTTTTTCCTTTTATTACCATTATTTTTCTTAATTAAAAAATTTTTTGGTTTTCTTTTTTTTTTTATAATTTTTTAATAATATTACAATGTAATAAATAATTAATGATTAAATATACATGATTTTATTTTTTAAAAAAAATTAAAAAAACAAACAAATACATTAAATAAATATGTGAAAAAAAACACATATTAAAAATTTAAAAAAAAAAATAAAAAAAAAAAATAAAAAATTTAAAAAAAAAAAAAAAAAGTATTTCGATTTGAAAAAAATAATATTTATTTAATTATTAAATTATTTATTTGTTTTTATATATTATGTTTATAATATATTTAACATTTAGGTAAATTTGATATAAAAATTGATTTCTTTTTTTTTTTTTTTTTTTTTTCTAAAAAAAAAAATTTTTGTTTAAACATTTTACATATTTATTTTTATTTTTGTTTTTAAAATTTTAATGATAATAAAATAAAAAAACCCTCATATGATATTTTTTTTTGGTGAACTTGACAAATTTTATTTTTTATAATAATAGTTAATAAATAATTACCACCCTCATTGATGGTTTTTTATCATAATTTTGATCAAAAAAAATAAATATTTATTATCTATTATTAGTTTTTATGTTTAATGGTTGTTAAAAATTATTTTCATGAATTAATTTATTTTTTCCTTTTATTACTATTATTTTTCTTAATTTAATATATTTTTTGTTTTTTTTTTTTTTTTTTTTTATAATTTTTTTAAACTTTTTTTTTTTATAATTTTTTTAAAATTTTTTTTATTTTTTTTTAAATTAATTTTTTTTTTAACTTCAAAATTTTTTTTTTTTTAATTTAAATTCATCACACATATATAAATTTATTGTTATTATTTATTTTATATATTTTTTACATATTTTTTTTTTAATTATTTATAAAAAGAAAAAAAGAATAGAAGGTTTTTTTTTTTTTTAATTTTAATTTATATTTTTATATACATATATACTATAGAGAATGGTTGTACAAAAAGATGAAACAAAAGGTATCAAATCTTATTACTGTTCAAAAATTGAAGATTTGGAAATTAGAGTAAATGAAAAAGCACAAGATTTAAGAAGATTAGAAGCACAAAGAAATGAATTAAATAATCGTGTTAGAATGTTAAAAGAAGAATTACAATTACTTACCAATCCAGGATCACATGTTGCTGAAGTTGTAAAATTAATGGGAAAAAATAAAGTTTTAGTTAAAGTTAATCCAGAAGGTAAGTTTGTAGTTGATATCGACCCACAAGTTGATGTTTCCAAATTAACACCATCAACAAGAGCTGCATTAAAGCATGAAAGCTACACTTTACACAGAATTTTACCAAATAAAATTGATCCATTAGTATCATTAATGAAGGTCGAAAAGATCCCAGATTCTACATACGATATGGTTGGTGGTTTAGACAAGCAAATTAAAGAAATTAAAGAGGTAATTGAATTACCAATCAAACATCCAGAGCTCTTTGAAAGTTTAGGTATTGCTCAACCAAAGGGTGTTTTATTATATGGTCCACCAGGTACTGGTAAAACTTTATTGGCTCGTGCTGTAGCACATCACACTGATTGTACTTTTATTCGTGTCTCCGGTTCCGAATTGGTTCAAAAATATATTGGTGAGGGTAGTCGTATGGTCCGTGAGCTCTTTATTATGGCTCGTGAACATGCTCCATCAATCATTTTTATGGATGAAATCGATTCCATTGGTTCATCTCGTACCGAATCTGGTAGTGGTGGTGGTGATAGTGAAGTTCAACGTACTATGTTAGAGTTACTCAATCAATTAGATGGTTTTGAAAGCACCAAGAATATCAAAGTTTTAATGTGTACAAATCGTATCGATATTTTAGATCCAGCTTTATTAAGACCTGGTCGTATTGATAGAAAAATTGAATTCCCAAATCCAGGTGATGCTGTAAGTATTTTTATAGTAGTAAATAGTAAAATTTTATTATATTAATTTTTTTTTTTTTTCTTTATCTTTTATAGGGTCGTTTAGATATTTTAAAGATTCACTCAAGAAAAATGAATTTAACAAGAGGAATCAATCTTAAAAAGATCTCTGATAAAATGAATGGTGCCTCTGGTGCTGAGTTAAAGGCTGTTTGTACTGAAGCTGGTATGTATGCTTTAAGAGAAAGAAGAGTTCATGTTTCACAAGAAGATTTTGAAATGGCAGTATCAAAGGTTATGAAAAAAGATTCAGAAAACAATATGTCTATCAACAAGTTATGGAAATAAACACCCTTTTTATTATTTTATTATTTTTTTTTTTTTACATCCACCTAAAAAAACAAATAAACAAATTAAAATAAACAACAAACTAAATAAACAACAAACTTTAACTTTACAATATTGTATTATTTTTTAAATTAAATTATTAAAAAGATAATAATAAATATATTTTTAAAACTTTAAATAAAAAAAAAAAGGTTTTAATACTGTGTTATATTATATTTTTATTTATATATTCAATATAATATATGGCTATAAAGTATCGATTTATTATTATTATTTAAATATCAATTTGGTCATCTAACCAAGATTCATTATCTTTGGAGCTTTCGATTTGTCTATCAACGATTCTTTTACCAGATAAGAAAATCATTGCTTCTTCGTATGTTTGTGGTAAAATTTGTTTGGTTTTTGTAGCTATATTGTTGTTTGTTGCATTGTCGTCTTGTAATGCTTTTTTAGATGGTGAGCAAAGGAAGGTAAAGTTAAATATATTAGAAAGTTTCTTTTCACCAATTAATGGGTTTGTTACATATGCTTTAACTTCGACTTGAGCATAGTAGGCTTTGGTTTGAGATTGAATTGGACATGAATAAACTATCATTGATTCTAATGACTAGAGGAAAAAAAAAAAAAATCAATATTTAAAGTTTTTTTAAAATAATAATTAATTAAACTTACTAAAATATCACCAATTTCTACAGGTAAAAGGAATGAAATATCATCCATGGCAATAAATCTTGGTAGGGACTCATTAAATTTCAATGATACACAACTATAGGCAATTTGGAAACCTTGTCTCATTAAATAGCCACCAAAAATTGAGCCGTTGATATTCTTTTCTTGTGGTTGGCAAAGGATTACAGAATGAATAACAGTAGATTTCATTGGAATTAAGTGTAGGTCATCAGTGAATTGAGGTTGCTTGGCAATTTGGAAGAAATGATGAATGGTTTGTAATTCTGATGGGTTTGGTACAGTCTTTTCTAAAGAGATTTGTTGGTTATTTAAACGAATTTGTTTATGTTTTTTGGCTTCGTCAAAGAGTTTCTTTTCCTGAATTGATTTAACAGCTAAATGGTTTACAGGGGTGGATTTGTTTAAAAGGGGATCACGAGCAACCATTGAAAAGTAGGCAACGAGTACTGGTTCCCATATAAGAGTTTCTGGGTTTTTAGAACGCACTTTGATCATAATTTCCATTGATGTATTACCGACCCAGGTTACTCTACCCTCTAATTTAAGATCCCTATCTGGAATAAGTGGTCTAAGTAGTCTAATTTTATCTACACTTGCTGTAACAATAATTTTTTTAAATCCATCGCCTTCATTTTCGGCATGTTTAAATGAAACATGGGCAGCTAAAGCGTCTAAATCTTCTAATAATCTACCCATTCTTAAATGACCAAATGGCGATAAATACATTTCTCTAAGTGCTAAATCTGAACTAAATAAAAGATCCACCTCGGTATAGCTGTCTGATGGTGTCTTTGTTACTAATGTTGGTACCGTTTTTAAATTTGGGTCAATCTTTTTGTTTTCTCTCGCTCTCCATAAATGATCAGTAACAGCTGTTCGATTTAAATATGATATTTTTTGTTCTTGTGATTCTTGGGTTATTGTGTTTATACTATTGCCATTATTATTATTATTATTATTATTATTATTTCTTATATTAATACTATTATTTCCTAAAGAGAACAAGTTATTATTTATTATTGGGAGAATTGGATATGCTTGATTTTCGATTCTTAAAATACTTTTTTTGAGTGCTTTTGAATAGTCATTTGAGTTTTGAAATGAAACATAAAAAAAACCATTTTCTCCGTCAAAAATTGATTTGATATTATTGGGTGAGATATTTGAATGTTTAAATTCGTTCCAAATATCTTTTGTTGTTATATTGGATGGTAAATTTTTAATTTCTATTGTATTTTCAAAAAAAATATTATTATTATTATTAATATTATTATTGATATTATTATTGTTAATATTTATATTGTTGCACGGTGATGATGCATTGTTATTTGTTGAAAAATAGGATTTGAATAATAAATTATTTGTTTTAATATTATGATTGGAGACCTTAATTATATTTTTTAACATTTTTTTTTAAAAAAAATAAAAAATTTTGATATTTTTATTTTAAATTATTATTATTTTTTTTTTTTCTGAATAATTTTATTTTATTAATTTATATATTTAATAGAACAAAAAAATAAATAGGTTGTTTTTATTTTATTTAAACAGAAAATAAACTTAAAGAAACCAAAAAAAAAAAAAAAAAAAAAAAAAAAAAAAAAAAAAAAAAAAAAAAAAAAAAAAAAAAAAAAATATAAAAAAAAAAAAAAAAAAATTATTTTAATTATTTTTTTTTAATTAAAAACAGTTCATTGTGAATCAATATGGCACCCATTTTGCCAAAAAAAAATACCGAAAATCATTGCTTTAGGGAAATTATTTTTCTTTGTTAACGACTTTATTACAAAGCTTTGTTTTCTTTTTTTATTTTTTAATGTCAATCTTATGTAAAAAATACACAAAAATATCTTAAATTCTTTTTGTAGATTTTATTAAAATTTCCAAATTTAACGACACAAATAATTTTTTTTTTCCATTTCAAACAAACAATAAATAATTAATAAATATATATCACAGAGGGAGGTGTTAATTCAACTTAATCTTTTGTATCTATAGATTACAATTTTATCGAAGTATTTATAAAGGAAAAATTGTGTGTTGGTAATAATTAACCAAAATTGCATTTGCTATTGATCTATATATTTGATTTTTTTATTAAATATAGATAGCTATTTATCTATTATTTAAATCTGTTTTTATCTGTATATTAATTTATTTATTTTTTTAATGAGTTTGGTTATAAAAACTAAAAGGGATCAATATTTAAATATGAACTGCAATAGGCAAATATTTGACATTTGTGGTGTATCAATTTTAATTGGATTTTTTTTTTTTTTTAATAAAAAAAAGGTGGGATGTGTTTTATTATCCCCACATTTTTTATGATAAAGAGTTATCTACAAAAATATATAATGAAAAATAAAATTATTTAACTTCAAAAAATTTGAAAGATGGTGGGACTCTAATTAAATTTTTCCTTTTTATAAATTTTTTTTTTTTTATTTATTATTTTTTATTGTATTTGTATTTTTATATTTTAAAATTAATTTTGAAAATAGTTATTTATAGTGATATAATGAAGATTATATCTTAAACGTTATATTTGTGGTTTAGTATCCATTTTCAATAAGATAGTCACCAAGTTTTTCACAAACAACAGCAGCATTCCCCTATAATTGAAAAAAATAGAAAATTAGGTTTGAGTTATTTGCAAATAAAAATGATGCATGAAATAAAACTTACTGGTTGTTTTGTTTCATCATAGTAACCAATGATAATACATTGGGTGGTCTTAACCACTACAATACCGGTGGCACCTTTTTTACCGTAGATTGAACGATCATCAGCTTTAATAGCCATGTACTTTACTCCGCCTATGTTAATAGTTAATATTGGTTAGTTTAATAAATTAAAAAATGATTAGAAATTTTAAAGATACCTACCAGCAGTAATTCCTTTTGCGAATGAATCAGCTGGGTTTTTATATAAAGCAACAATACCAGCTCCTTCACCACCTTTTAAAGTCCAGTTTTTAGATGTGGCCCATGTACTACCGTCGGCTGCGCCACTAATAATGATAAAAATAAGTTATAAAATCATTATTAATTTGATTTCAATAAAAAAAAAAAAAAAAAAAAAACAATTAAAACTTACATGATAACTGCAGCTGTAATATTTCCAGTTCCAACCTAAATATGAAAAAAGAAAGAGAATAAATAAGATATATACAATATATAGAAACATTTTATTAAAAACTTACTAATTGTTCATCAACATAACCCTGCAAATAAAATAAAGTTTGTTTGTTAGTATTTAATACTTTTTTTTTTTTTATTATTTTTTTATATAACTATAAAATTATTTTAAAAATACTTACTTGCCAGCTCATTTTATTTAAATTTATTTGTTTAACTTGTATTTGTATTATAAAAAAGATAATGAATGAATAATAATAAAAATTCAAAATTTATAAAAACACAAAAATTAATTTTTTTTTTTTTATTAATAAAAAATAATAATAATTAAAGAAAGCTGTTTTTAGAATATAATGTGGGTTAAAAAAACCTCTTATGACCCATTTTTTTTTTTTTTTTTTTTTTTTGAAACACACCTTTTGATTTTTTATAATTAAATAGAGTTTTTTAAAAATTCATTGAATTGGTTAATTTTTTTATTATCAAACCAATTTTGGTTTTTTTTTTATTATAATATTTTTTTTTTTATTATTATTTTTATTATTATGCATTTTATTAATTTAAAAATAGTATAATGTTTTTTTTTATTTAAAATCACAGATTGTGATTGTTTTTTGTTTCCAATCTAATTTCAATCAATTAAAAAATTTTTTTTTTTTTGTGTGTTTTTTGGGGGAATAGGACAAATTACAAATTTATAAACCTTTTTTTTTTTTAATCTATTATAATAATTATTTTTATTAATGATACAATATAAGTGTTGTGATAAATCAAACAAGATCATAATTTTTAAAAAATAAATTTGAAATAAATATGATATTATTGTGAACAAATAACAGTTATTTATATTTATATTTATTTTTATATTTATTTTTTTATTAGTTTGTTTTTTTGTATGAATTAATTGCCAATATTTAAAATGGTATCAAAGATAAATTATTCGATCGATCGTAGTTGTTAAAATGATAACTATAATCATTCTTAAAACCAATGAGTTCTCTTTTAATGTATATCCCAAATTATTTAATGTGAAACCATATAAAGAAAAAATTATTTTTATTTTAATATTAAAAAAAAAATTAAATAAATATTTTTTAAAAATTTTTTTAAATTTTTTATTTAATTTTTTTTTTTTTTTTTTTTTAGTTTCCTTACAGAATTTTCGATAATTAAATTTATTTATATTTTTTTTTCATATATTATCAATATCCATAAAGATTGTTAAGTTTACAAATATAACATAAAACAACATAATAATAATAATTATAATTATAATAATAATAAAATAATAATAATAACCTCTAAAAACTTAAAAATAAATAATAATATAATAAAATATACAATTTTTATCAAAGAAATGCCAAAATATTATTGTGACTATTGCGATAAATATCTTACACACGATTCTCCATCAGTAAGAAAATCACATACTGTTGGTAAACAACATAAATTAGCGGTTCAATTATATTATCAACAATTTGAAGCAGAGTTTACCCAAAGTTTAATCGAATCAAGATTAAAAGAGTATGAGGAAAATAAAGGTAGAATAGGTAATCAAATAAGCTATGGTATGTATCAACACACTGTTTATAACGTAAAAGTATTATTTTAATATTAACTGTTTTATTATTATTATTTTGTTTTTGTCATTATTTTAGCTCCACCAATGTATCAACAAGGTCCACCACCACCAAATTACCAACAAGGTCCACCACCACCAGGTGGTATGCATTATCAACAGGGTCCACCACCACCAAATTATCAAAGTAGAATGCCTCCAAATTACCCACCACCACACCAAGGTCATCACCATCATCATAATAATAACAATGGTCAACTCTCAATCCCTGGAATGTAATCGAATTGCAGTTATAATATATTTATATAAAAATTTAAAAACACATAAATATTCAAAACAGAAAAATTTTAAAATTCATGTATAGATAAACATTATAGAACAAAAATAGGTATCATAAATTATGATATCAGGTAATGGATTTTTATGGATCATTAAAAAAAAAAACATAAAATAAAAATTGAATGTAAATAATTAGAAATAAATAAATAAATAACCAAATCAGAATAATGATGGTTCAAAATAATAATTTAAAATTTTAAGATAATTCCACTAATTGAACACCAAATTTTTATTTTTTATTTTTTATTTTTTTTTATTAATTTTTTTTTTAAAAATTTTTTTATTTTATTAAATTTTTTTTTGTTCAATTTTTTAATTTAAATATTTAATATTTATTTCTTCCAACAACAAATAAAATGAATTACATAACAAATAAAGAACATTTCAGTCATATCAAAACTCATGCTTTGGGATCACTCCAATATATAAATCAACGTCCATTATTAAGATGGTTTTTACTCAGTGCAGGTTTCTTTACATTAAAGAAAATTGGTAAAATTATTAAAAACAGAGTAAAGAATAACACAATTTTAGAAATTGACTTCACTCAAAACATTGATACCTCAGATGTAAGAATTTTAATCAAGAGTTATTCTAATATATAAAGATGTTTTTATATTAACTTTTCAATTTTTATTTATTTCCAGGTTGGTATGAACCCGATTGAAAAAATATTCGAACCAAATACAATTACATTTAAAGATATTTTAGAGTCATTAGAAAAAGCCTCCACTGATAAAAAAATTATTGGTTTAATTGTTAAATTGGGTGGGGAAAATCAATTAAGTTTATCAAATATTCAAGAATTTAGAAATGCAGTCCAAGCTTTTAAAAAGAGTGGCAAGAGAGCAGTAGTATTCACTGATTCATTCACTGAGGTTGGTAGTGGTATTGCTAGATATTATTTAGCTTCAGCTTTTACCGATGTATATATGTCACCAGCAGGTACTGTAAATCTTATTAATAGTCAGTATGATTTTGCTTTTGTTAAAGGTACTCTTGAAAAATTAGGTGTAGTTCCAGATGCTCTTACAAGAAAAGAATATAAGGTAAATATCTATTCTTTTATTCGTCTATAATTAATATTTAATCATTTTATTAACCTTGTTTTTCTTTTTTATATAGAGTGCATTAAATAGTTTAATTAATGAAAAATTAACAGAGGCAGAAAAAGAATCAATGAATGCAATTTTCAAAAGTTTATATGATCAAATTATTTTAGACATTAGTAAAGATAGAGGTTTAACAGTTGACCAAGTTAATGGTCTTTTTGAAACTGGTCCATTTTCAGCAGACAAAGCATTAGTTAATAAATTAATCGATGCCACATTATATTCAGATGAAGTTTATACAACCACATATGAAAAATTAAATATTGCTAAAGAGAATGCTAATCTTTTATTTGCCCACAAATATAATCAAAAATCACCAAGACTATACTCTAAAAAGAATAAGAATCTTATTGCTTTAATTAACTGTGAAGGTACCATTCATCAAGGTGCTGGTAAAACTAAATTTAATGGTGGTCCATCGATTGGTTCAGACTCATTAGTCTTAGCCATTAGATCAGCTGTTCAAGATAAAGATGTTAAGGCCATTATTCTTCGTGTAAACAGTGGTGGTGGTAGTTATATTGCTTCTGACCTTGTTCATCACGAAATTGAAGCTGCCAAGAAAGCTGGTAAAAAGATTGTTGTCTCAATGGGAACATATTGTGCTAGTGGTGGTTATTTCATTGCTTGTAATGCCGATAAAATTATTGCTTTGGGTGCTACTCTTACTGGTTCTATTGGTGTTTTAACAGCTAAATTTAATCTTCAACCAATGTGGAAAAAGATCGGTGTTACATTTGATGATCTTCGTCTCAATCCAGATGGCACTAAAGACAATGCTACATACTTTTCATCACTCCATAATTATAATGAAAAACAATTATCCGATGTTAACAACTATTTAGACTTTATTTACGAAGATTTCACATCAAAGGTTAGCAAAGGTAGAAGACTCACACGTGATCAAGTCGAAGAAATTGCTCGTGGTCGTGTTTGGACAGGTAGCCAAGCTCTTGACAATGGCTTGGTTGATAAAATTGGTGGTATTAAAGAAGCAATTGAGGCTGCCAAAGAGCTCTGCTCAATGCCATCAACTTCAACACCATATGTTGTTACTTATCCAAAAGAAAATATTGTTCAAGCCCTTCTTTCACAACCAAATAGCTCTAGAGATCTTGAAAAACGTGGTTTACCAGTTCAAAGCAGTATTAGTTTATCAAGTATTGGTGTTGTTACATCAATTTTCACAAAATTCACTTCATTATCGAAATTGGTTTTGGGTTTACCACAAACAAAATCTATAGTTTCAAATTTACAAACTACCTCTGATTTATCAATGGATATAAATCAAACAGTTGTATCGAATTCATTTTTATAAATATTAGTGTTTGATTAAATAAAGACAATTTAAAAACTTTTATAATTACAAAAAAACCCTTTGGGTAATATATTTTTATTAGGATTTAATTGATTTTAATTTAATTTTAATTTCGGTTTTATTTTTTTTATAAAAAACCGCACCAGCAATAACTAAAATTGAAACTACAACCACAGGTACAACCACAGCTACAGGAACAACCCATTTTCTTGATTGGCATGTTGATTTAAAATCAGGTGAAACCAAAACAGAGAAATCTATATAATTTTAAAAAAACTTGGTTAGGAAAAGTTAATGAATATTTAATATTATAAATCACTTACCTGGATCTAATAAACATTCATTCATAAAGTGAGGAAGGTTAAGAGCAATTATTAGCGAGTCTTGGGTTTTAGAAAATATAGAGGTTTGGAGGGATGTTGGATTACCATCGGATATTACTCTGTTTATAAATTTCCCATTTAATATTTTTTCATTTTTTCTGATTGTTATAAAGTTTAATGTTGAGTCTTTAATCTCTGTGGTATCAATATTAGTATTTTGATTGTTGCATCCATTATCATATCCATGATCTTCAGTTTCGTTTGCTGATGACTGAATTAACAATTGTAATGAGTTTAATGCACTGGCATATGTATAGTTGCTAATTGAAATTGATAATTTAATTGATCCTGCATCAACTGTAAAATCTACACCTGCAAAAGAAAATTGTTTATCTTCTTTAACTTGTTCAATAACTGATACAATTTTACAAGTGGAGTTAATTAGATTCTGTGAGAAAATATATACATTTTCGTCATTTGATTCGTTTTCGTTATTGGCCCAAGAGCTAACAAGTGAATGGTTTTTAATGATATTTCCTATTATATCAATCTCTAATAAAGATATAAATTTGATTTCAAAATTTGTTTGTTCGTTTGAGATAATACTACTACCGGTAGTTTTGTCTATTGAAACTATATTTTTAAGATTTTGATCATTATTCTTTAAAATGGAGCAATCTATACCACTATAGTTATTTTTGCAATTACATATTCCAACCTTGGTGTCACAAATACCTTGTTCTTCTTTGGTGCAACTATTTGGGCAGCTTTGTATTGGATCTATATACATAAATAGTGATTTACTTGACCAAGAATATTCATTTTGTGTTATATTTACTTGTTGAAAACCGGAGCTATCAGTTCCTTTTAATGTGCAGTTGATTAGTTTTTCATCTACATAGGTAACGATGCAATTTATGCCACCAATGGTCACAGCTAAATTTGAATGAGTCGAACCAAAAAATCCAAATATTTGAACTGTACCCTCTGAATTTTTTTCAATTGGTATAATTGAGCTGGAATATTGTTTTATATTGGGGATGCAAGTACCATTAGAGGATATACAGATACCATCACAAACTCCACATTCTACAATATTATTAAGTTGATTTGGAGTAACCGTAATTTGGGTTTGTAAACCAGCGACATTGATAATGGTAATCAAATCCTTTTTATCTGAGGTAAAAGGAGAGGGCATAGAGCAAATAATTTGATCAAAAGTTGCACTTTGTATTCCACAAACTACAGACTGTATTGTAATCTTTATTGTTGAGGTATTGTAGGCAAAATAAGATCCAATAAAAGTAAAAGTATCGTATGTAGATGAAACCTGTGATACCTTTGGTGCAGTTTGTGACGTAAAGAGTGTGATATTTTTATCGAGTGATGTAAATCTAATTAAAATTATATCTGGTGTAGTTGATGGAATAAATTCTGCTTCATAAAGACTATAGCTTATCCATTTCCAGGTCATAGATGGGGTGGAGGAAAATGGATTATATAGTGAAAGCCCCAAATATTCACCACTTAAATACATTCTATTAATTGTTCTATTTACAGTTAAGGTTGGTGTAATTATACAATCTTTAAAAAAAAATAGTAAGTAAATCATATGGTGAAATATTTTTTTTAAATAAATACAAACCATTTGGAGTGTCTAGAGATGCAAAATTATTTGATTTAAAATACATCGAATAAGAAAAACCCGAAAAGAAACAGCTAAAGCATTTTGGGATGGGGTCAACAAATTGATTTGATGAGAAATCGAATGATTGTAATAGACACCATGACTCATCAATTGTTCCACTTAGTTTATTATTTGAAATATCTCTTTTAATATTTTAAAATGAAAAAAGTATTAATAAAAATTTTTAAAAAAATATTAATAATTTTTAATAAAAATAAATATTTACAATTTTGTTAGGCCACTATAATAGTCAGTATATTTTCCTAGGATGTCTCCACTTAAATTGTTGTTCTTCAAAGAAAGAGTTTTTAAACCAGAATGCTTGGGAATAGAAGTAAAAGACCCATCTGTGATAATACTTTTGAATGGAAATTAGAATTTTTTTTTTTTTTTTTTTTTTATGATAAATATATTTCTCACATTTCGGTTAATGTAGATTGATAATTTTTAAATGGAATTTCCCCATTAATAGAAAAAAGGTTTGATACATTCGATAGAGATCTATAAAAAAAAATTTATTAATAAGAGAATTCTTATCAAAATAAATATTTAAGAAAAACTTACAAAGAATTACTAGCAAATTGGCTTAAATCAATATAGTCTGATGGTTTATCTAAATAACCAGTAAAAACTACTCGAGAATTTAAACTTGTTTTTTTAAATGGAAAGGCAACAGAACCATCTAAAACCCTTAAACTAATTGAAGAATATTGGGGAAGAATAGATAAATCATTTAAATTTGAAAGAGATGATGCATCAAAACCTTTGCCTAAATTTATTTGGCTAAATAAAATTATTAATTTAAATTTTTACTATATACTATTACGTACGAAAAAATAATTACTTACATTAATGAGGGGCGAAATAAGCTGCTAAAAATTGGTACGTTGGAGGAATACAAAATCAATGTTGTTAAACCAATAGCACTGGTTAAATCGTTGTCGACATATGGATATAAAAATGTTTTGTAGGGATTGCTATTTTCGTACATTTCAAAATTTTTTATATAACTTAAAGCGACTAAAGAAATATTTGTTTTAAAAGGTTCAACTAAATTTAGAAAATGAACCTCTCGAGTAGCTGAATAAGGAATATTTGCATATATATTATAGCAATTGTAAAAATTTACTTTAAAGCTTGAAATGGGTCTTTGTGGAGGAGTTCCAACTACATTATCTTTTAAATATATACCATTTAAATCTATATTTGATAATACTGTGAAGCAGCTAAAATCGTCATAGCCAATTAAATCTTGATTTATTGTATTTAAATTGATATAATTTATTGTTCCATTGGAATTACATACAAATTTTGAACAAAAATCTTTATAACCTAAATCTCCATTGATTGCCAATGGATAACCAACCTTACTTAATAAATTATCTGCACATGTATCTAAAAAAAAAAAAATTAGTAACTGTATTATTAGAATAAAGTTTTAAAATTTTTTAATAAATTACATTCTTCGTCTATTAGCTTTACAGCTAGTGAATTATTTATTAATATTATTAATATAAATAAAATATTTATTTGGTTCATTATTTATTTCGGTCATTTGAAAAAGTGGATCAAAAAAAATATATTTTTTTATTTTTTTATTTTCTACCCAAAAAAAAATATATTTTTTTTTAAAAAAAAATAAAATTTTGGCACCACCCTTGTCAAATTTACCCAAAATTTTATTTTTTAAAAAAAAGGGTGAGAAAATATTAAATTGTTTTAAAAAATATTTTTTTTTTTATTTTTTTAATTTTTTAATTTTTTAATTTTTTATTTAAATTAAATAATGTCAAGCAATAATAATAATGAATCTCACAATTTAGAAATAATAAACCATGACAAAAATAAAAAAAATTTAATTATAGGGTTAACAGGAAGTGTTGCAACAATTAAAGCAAAACTATTAGTGGAAAGTTTAATAAATTCATATAATATTATAGTTATAACAACAGAAACATCATTAAAGTTTTTATCAGAATCAGATATTCAATATATATCAAGCAAAGCTAAAATATATAACGACAAGGATGAATGGGAATCACATGTAGATATATTTAAAAGATCTGCACTTCACATAGATGTAATATCATCATCATTACTACAATTAACTTTATAAACTAATATCTTTTTTATTATTTAGTTAAGAAAATGGGCAGATTCAATTTTAATAGCGCCATGCTCAGCAAATACTTTGGGTAAAATTTCAAATGGGTTATGTGACAATTTATTAACATCATTAATTAGAGCATGGGATTATAAAAATAAGAAATTAATTATAGCACCAGCAATGAATACAATGATGTGGGAGAACCCATTTACCAGCCGCCATATCGAAACAATGAAACAATTATCAAACAATGTACTATTTATAGATCCAATTCAAAAGAAATTATTTTGTGGTGATATTGGTATGGGTGCGATGGAAGAAGTGCCAAAAATAGTAGAATATATAATCAAAAATGTGTAAATAAAAATAAAATAATAAAAACTATAATTTTAATAAAAAAACAAAATAATAAAAACTATAATTTTAATTTAAATAAAATATATATGAATTTTTTTTTATAAAATTAAATATATACATGAATAAACTTTTATTTTTATCCTACAAATTATTTTAAGATTTCTTTTTTAAAGTTTTTAATAACCAAAAACCAGATTTTTTGTTTTGTTGTTGTTGTTGTTGTTGTTGTTGTTGTTGTTTTTGTTGTAAAGTATTATTATAACTTTCATTATTTACATTGGTACTATTGCTACTGTTATTGTTAGAATTATTATTGGTTGATTCTTTGCTTTCAATATTATTTATATTGCTATTATTATTTTCTACACTATAGTTGTTCATATTATTATTATCTTCAATTGTTTCTTTTTCATTATTTATTGTTGGTGGATTTGGAGAGGATATTGGTTGGGGATTTGTAACTGAATTTGAAAATAATGGTGAGGCACTGTGACTACTTGTTGCAATTCTACTACTAATATTATTTGTTGTTGATGATCTATTAAAGGTATGATTTGTAATAACCGAGTTCATATTGTTTTTAACAGAGTTAACTGGACTTTGAGAGGGACTATTATTTTGTGAACCAGAATAAGATAGGTTTAATGATGATCCACCATAATTATTATGAGTTAACTGTTGTTGTGGAGATTGGGACTGTGATGACAATGATTGTTTTTTACCATCACTAGTTTCTTGTTTCTTTCTTTGTTTTTCAATTTTTTCCAATTTCTTTTTCTTTTCATCTCTTTCTTTCTTTAGATCTTTAATAAATTTACTTGTGAAATTTTGTTTAATAAATAATTCGTTCTTTAACAAATCATTCCAATTCTTTTTCTTTGACATCCATTCCAAACAAATAGACCACATATCTTGAATAGCACTAGAGGATGATGAATTGCTAACCCAATTCTCTTTAAAGTGTAAAGAGTTATTTTCAAAGATGGTTTTGATTACTGTAACGATTTTTGAAACATCTAAAATATGGTAAAGTAAAACAGCAGAATAATGTTGTAATGTTTTGTGAGAGATTGTGTATGATAATTTGGAGAGTGTTAAAATATCAATGACATCTAATTGTTCATTATTACTATTTCTAAATTTAAATACTTCTGATGGGGTAAAAACTCCACTGCCGAGAGTATTGGTGACACTTGATGATGGTGGTTGGCATGGATTGGCAAAAACAATACTTCCACAATATAAAAATTCGAGTAGTGCTGTTAAAACCCTATGATTTACATCGCCAATATCAATATTCCAAGCACATGGATGGAAACCAATTTCGCTGCCTAAAGCTGGTGATGATGGGCATGACATTTTTCTTGGAGTATGTTCGATATTACCAATATTGAAACCACCGTTGATACTGCTATTACTTTGAACGCTTGTACCATAAACTTGTGTACTACTTTCCTTATCTTTGCCGTTTGATGTAGTGGTTGTGGTGGTTGTGGTAGTGGTGGTAGTGGTAGTGGTGGAGTTTGAGGGTGGTTGGTTTGGGAATACTGAGATAATTGTTTTGGTTGGTGCAAATTGATGAGTTTCAAAATGATTTTTAAAGAATGGTGAACGAGCTGCTAAAATAACACTATGTGCATAAATTCCAAAGCCTCCTTCGCAAATGAATAAAACATCAGCACCCATACTTGAACCAACTTGACGGTATAAATAGCTAGCCAAATCGAGGGTTCCGTGTCTTGGTCTATTTGGTGAGATATTACAAACTGAATCAATGTTATAAAGAGAACAAAGATCGCTAAATTCAGAGAATTTACTTGAACTTGAAACGATTTCACGTGGTACTTCACTAGTGTATGCATAATGTAAAATTGCTTTAAACAATTCATATGATACACCTTTTTCGATTGGAATACGAATTAACTGACCCGGATTTACCACACTACCCATTCTTGAACGAGTTCTATGTCTGCCGTAATAAGAACTATCATCATCATCGGTAAAACTAGCATCTTCTTGGTTATAATAGCTATCTGATACATAGCTTGTTGATATTTGATTTGAAATATTTGATGCATGTAATTGGCTTCCCATATAGCCAGCGAGGTATTGCTGATAATGGGATCCATAATTACCATAATAGCCTCCACCTGCATTACCGACACCATTTCCGTGTGATACTCTATAGGTATGAATTAATTCTCTAAAAATTTTGAATTGTCTTAAAATAACAGTGTGAGCATAAATTTCTTTACCTTCGACATTGAAAACTATATCACAGTATTGGCCATCCAAGCTAAATCTAAAATCATTTCCTAACGGATCGAACGGAGTCTTTATATCATTTGGATCATTAAAAAATTTGAATGTGAAATTTGGTGGTCTTTTTTCCCTACTTAAAACTTCCACACAATCAAAATGACCAAACAATGATGCTAAACATAATGCTGTCATACCCATATCATCTTTAATAAATGCTGTTTTTCTTGATGCTGATCCAATTAAAACTTGTAAAATTTTAGAATGACCTGAATATGCTGCAACATGTAATGGAATTCTTCCTTTATTATCGGGCTATAATATGATAAAAAAACTATTAATTTTTTATTTTATTTTTTTTTTATAATTTATACTTTTTGTTTTTTTTTTACTACTTACAATAAATAAAATTAATTCAGACTTTATATCTTTTTTAACTGATTTACCATTTGATAAAATCGATAATGAAGGAGATTTAGTTTTATTGGCATAAAATAAAATAATTTCCATAAAATTTCTTTTACCATGTTGAGCAGCAATATGAAGAGCAGTTGAGCCATCAATATCTTGAGAATAAATATTGCAACCACGTTGGAGAAATAATTCACAACAAGTAAAATATTGATCGATTGTGGCATTGATTTCCTGGCTGTTATAAAGTGAGCCAGAATTACTATTATTAATAGGACTAAAGAAAACGGTTAGATGAAGTGGTGTACATTCACTACGATCAACTGAGTTTACATTTCCTTTACTCTCTAATAAAAGTCGAACAATTGAAGAGTAACCTTTGATTGCTGCTAAATGAAGAGGATTTCTACCCATTGATTTATTTGCAAGTGCAACTTTAGAACCACGCATCAATAATGTTGATACTATCGAAAATAAACCTCTATCTACTGCATAGTGAAGTGGGGTTTCTAAATTATTATCTTTTGAATTTACTTGGGCACCATGATATAAAAGAATGTCAACACAAGGTACATTTGCACATGCTGCATAATGAAGTGGGGTTATTCCGTTATTATTAGTTCCATTAACTCTGCCACCTCTATTAACGATATGTTTTATTGCTTGGGAATTACCAATAATCGAAACTCTATGTAAAATACTATTTCCTTCTATATCCTTGGTATTAACATCTTCATAACTTATTAAATTTTTAATTTCTTCTTGTAATAAAACTGCATGTAATAACGGTCTTTCTATTGATCCCTGTTGTCTCTGTCTTGGCTGTCTTTGAACTCTTGAACCTTATTAATGGTACTGAAACACTTCTTGGGGAACTATTTAAGTGGGGGTGCACCATTACTCGTTTGTTGTGTTGGTGGTGGTGTTTGTAATGGTGGTATTGATGGTATTGATGGTATTGATGGTGGTAATGGTGATTGCTGGGGTGGTTGTAAAGTTTGTTGTTGTTGTTGTGACGATGATAAGGATGGTGATGACGATGCAGAAGCTGGTAACGATGCAGGTGGTGACGTTGAAGTTGAAGCTGGCGTGGTAGTTGTTGTAGTGGTAGTAGTTGTCGTAGTGGTTGTAGTGGTGGTGGTAGTTGTAATGGAAGAAACTGGTAGGGTTGTATCAAGTGATAGTGAGGTGGTCTCGGGTATAGTTTCACTACCTAAACTATTAATAGAATCATTTAAAATAATTGGTTTGTTTTCTATATTATCTGCCTCTCCTTCTTTTTCTTCATTATTAATATTATTATTATTTAGTATAAAATCGCTTTCTTTATTTATTATGGTTTCCTCTACTAATGTACACTCTTTATTATCTTCACCATTATCTATATCTGCACCATTATAACAATTATCAATTTCTTGATTTTGATTATTATCGCTTTCAGTATTACTATTTTTTTCTATATATACACTATTATTATTATTAGATTCTATAAAACTATTACTTCTAAAAAATTGACTAGATGACCTTAAATTTATTGGGCTATCTTGTTGTATTGAAAAGTTTATATTAAATGATGAGGATCTGGTATATTTTAAAATATCATCATTTTTAATAAATGAAAAAACTGGTGAGTTTGGCATTGATGATGATTTATTTAATTTGATTGGTTGAAATTCATTATTACCATCATTATTGCTAACATCATAGCTATCATTGACATCAATAGTGTTATTATTACTACTATTAATACTACTATAATTATTATCTATACCATTTTGAATATTTTGAAGGATTTCAATTATTTCGCTAATTGAACTACTATCTTTATTATCTTTACTATCACTTGTGGTGCTATTTGTACTGCTGCTGTCACTATTTTTTTCGCTACTTTCACTGATACCACTATTTCCTTTGGTACTTTGAGATAAGTCTTCAAGATCTTTATTTTCAAAGCTGCTACTATTATTTATTATTATATTATGTGAAGAGATGTCATTGGATTCTTTGATAATATTTTCATTTATTAGTGTGTCATTTTGATTACTTATGTTATTACTATTATTTTCCTTTAAATCAACTTGATGATCAAGAAGCAAAAGCATTTTCTATCTATTATTATAATTATTTATTATTATATTATTACTATTATTTAATTAACTACTATTATTATTTATACTATTTATTTTAATTTTATTTTATGTGAATGTATAATTAATTAAATGGCAAAAATTCTAAACTATACAATAATGTTATTGTTTTTTTTTTATATACAAAATTTTT